GGTGATTTTTTTGGTATAGTTTTGTGGAACAAGGTGCATCGCCTCTTTTTGACCTTGCTTTCGGAATTTCGGGGCGTAATCAAATAAACGGTTGAAATGTCAAAGAGGAGTAGATGGGTCACACAACTGCCGATACAATGGGTACCTTCAATCAGCTGAGAAGCGGAAGTTTAAATTTGGAAAGGTCTGAAACGCGTTCTTCTGGGAAAACATTCAGGTAGATCATGAGGGAGGCTGGAACTTGACAGAGAGGCCTGGAATACGGCTACCCACTTTTCTCAAAGCTACAAGAAGAGACAAGCCATCTGAAAGGCAGTCGACCTCTGGACTTGACGACGTGGAGATGCGGTCGTGCCCATTTCCGGTGAGATCATCTTAAAGGTTCCATTTTTCGGTGCAGTTTCTTCCAGCTAGCTGTTGTTTCTTTAGAAAGCTGACCTCTCTTAAGTGTGGATAATCCAACTGATCGTTCAACACACTACTGAATACAATTCTCCTCCGAAATTCGTGTTCATCTGAAGCCGTGTGCTTCGTGAAATATCTTTTTTTGAGGGTACTGGCTGTATGTGAAGCCAGACTGCACTGAGGCTTCGAGATTCCATTAGATGGGGTGAGGGCCGCTGCTTCGATGTTTGGACCAGTAAGGATGATTTCCATGGGGGGGGTGTGATTGGTATAAACATCACTGGTGTCCTGGAACTTGCATGTTTGTGTGCTACGCAGAATGTCACCCGGTCCTGAGGTGGCTAGTTTAACCTTTCAAAGTGAAATGTGCCATATCTGATGGCAAAAAACAGTACTAAATCCTTCCTTTAATACTTCATTCTGTGTTGGGGAGAGGATGAGCGCCGAAGAGTTGCTTCATCCAGGTTGAGGACTAATAGCGGTGCGCGTCTCCTGATTCTTTAATTAAAGTCCACACTGCGACCCTTTGGATAGTGCTATGACATTGTGCCGTTCGTTCAGGGCTGACCAATCAGTACAGTGATTAGATCTTACACGACTGGTAGTACGCAGCGGTGCTATACAGGGCTTCCTTGGTTCTCAGCAGTGATTAGCTTCACTTACGGACTGAGACCTCTCATATTACAACCACACTAGCAGAATCGTCGTGGTGATTAACCACCACTGGTCCAGTACAACGCCTCTGGGTGTATCCAGAAGCCAAGTACAGATCATTTCCAGGACTCACAAGATTTCTATGCAGATCGCATCTACATGAGAGGATTCTGAACAGCTTTAATTTAGCCTTGCTGCGAGATCTGCTGATGTCAGTCATTTGACCCCCTCCCCCCGCTTGGTCGGACAGTTCTGTTTAATGTATCTGCTTTGTGTGGACACTAGCATTTTGCTAAGGTTCTACAAAAACCTTTCCCATGTTCGGACTGAAGAGAGTTGGTACATCAGCTGCCGTTGGAAAAAGACATGTCACACCACAGCACACCACATCACACCACACCACACTGAACCACACCACACCACACCACACCACACCACACCACACCACACCACACCACACCACACCACACCACACCACACCACACCACACCACACCACACCACACCACACCACACCACACCACACCACACCACACCACACCACACCACACCACACCACACCACACCACACCACACCACACCACACCACACCACACCACACCACACCACACCACACCACACCACACCACACCACACCACACCACACCACACCACACCACACCACACCACACCACACCACACCACACCACACCACACCACACCACACCACACCACACCACACCACACCACACCACACCACACCACACCACACCACACCACACCACACCACACCACACCACACCACACCACACCACACCACACCACACCACACCACACCACACCACACCACACCACACCACACCACACCACACCACACCACACCACACCACACCACACCACACCACACCACACCACACCACACCACACCACACCACACCACACCACACCACACCACACCACACCACACCACACCACACCACACCACACCACACCACACCACACCACACCACACCACACCACACCACACCACACCACACCACACCACACCACACCACACCACACCACACCATGCTACACCACACCACACCACGCCACGCCACGCCACACCACACCATACCACACCACACTACACTACACTGCACTGCACTGCATCATAATACACCACACCACACCACACCACAATACACTATACCACACCACACCATACAACACTACAACACAACACAACACACAACACCACACTACAATACACTAGACCACACCGCAACACACCACATCATACCATACCATACTACACCACACTATGCCACCACATCACAAATCTCCCATTCATGTTAAAGAAAATATCGACCACTACATGTCCCAGCAAGGTATTCGCGCTAACTTTCCAGATTTAACCGAAGTTGCCGGAGCAAGTACCCTCCAGAGAAAATGGGAAAGGCCATTAAAGGAGTATTGCTACTCAGAAGGTTTATGAAAACTCTCTGACATCCAATTACAGGTTTCGTCCTTCTAAGCGTGCATCAGATAGACGAAATTAAACCCAGTTTGTGCAAAATCCACAAAATCCACTTACCTGCACGCCAGTTTGACTTCCAAGAGAGATCCAACTGAATTCCAGCTGAATCTTTCGTTAATGCTGAGCCTTGAAAAGAAGCGAACCGGTCTGGCGCTGTCGAAGTGTTTTCAAACATCTTATGGGCCGTGTGGTGCCAAGAAGTAAACTGTGTTACCCCGTACCAAAATCTTTGTGAAGCACACTCAGTTGAAGCGCATGACAAGTAAGTGATTGAGCTTGGATCCATCTGGGTCTTTCATTGAAATCAACTTGGTGAGTAAATGAGTGTAGTTCAGGGGACGGGCCTTTTCTATGTGATTCCCATGCTATTATCAATTTGTGGAGGGGTTTTGTAGGAAGAGACTATCAGACGTAGCAAGCAGTAAGAAGGCCATAGTGAGAAAGCCATAGCTACTTAGTACCAGGGCAATAGAACGTGTCACAACAGGTAAACCTTAAGATATCTCGGTGACTACGGTTTACGAGCGCTACAGGAAACACCTGTAACCTACTTCCGTGATAGCTTCGCGTTCGACATGAAGGCTGTTCGTACAACTGAAGGATTGCCTAGGACCAGTCTGTTTTGTAATACTACTTATGTGTTTTTACGAAGAGATTGAATCTTATCTCAGTTTGACGGTTTGTGCACTTCCACGACTCGCTGCGCCATACTGGAGAGTGTTCGTGCAACACTTGTGGAGCATCTCACCATGTTGGCCAATGGATAGAGATCTAACTAACACAGTCTTCTGGGCTTTCAGGTTGAAGGTTGAAACGTACGTGATGACTTTCTTCTCAAAACTGTAGGTTGCACTGATGGTATTTCGTCAATCACCGCCGCCTTGTGGTAGAACTATGAGCCAGAGGCTTTGGATGAAGATCCCGATTGTCCAGCTGCCTAGACCTTGGCAGTATCTCAGCGGGCGTGCAGTCACGAGTTATGCAACTAGGGGGCGCGTGGCGGTGGAACACTAGTGTTCTCTTCTGTTGTTTCTGCCAACGATAACAAATCACAATGATGATTAGGCAAAACCCCTGGGGGATTCGTCAACTTAGCAAAACACAAGGGCAAGGAATGGATTCCGCAATCTCCAATAAGAGCCCTAGAAACGTGAATTCCTGAAAGACGGGAGAAGTCTTGAGTCATAGCCATCGGCCACTTGGTTACTTGCCATATCTTTGCCCCCTCCCTGCGCGTACTAGGGCAACGCCATACAGTACATACAATCGACAATCTTGGTGCTCCTTGACTTCAAAGGTGTGCTGGATCCTGTCGATCGGTCAGCACTTGGTCAGTACTCAGCATTTTGTGAACATAATCCGATCCCTATATCCACATGTTTCTGGGCTTGCAAGAGTCTATGGTGAACTCTTTGAGAGCCTTTCTACAAAACGTGGTGTCCAAATGGATATCCACTCTCTCCATTCTTCTCCAACTTCGTTGTTGATAAAATGCTGAAACAAACGCTGGAAGGTCTTGAAAACCCCGGTGTTAAAATTGTTGCCGGTGAGAGCCTTGTCGATCCTCAGTACGCAGATGACATCGCCCTCGTCTTTCAAGACCACAGCGAAGCACAAGCTCATCATCATACCATCTTTTGGCATGCGCATTGCACCTTCAAATACAAAGCCATGCTTCAGAACCCGCAGTCTCTGAGCATATCCCTTGCAATTCAAGGAGAATCACTGAAGATTTAGGAAAGTTTTACCTACCTTGATAGTTTTATTAGCTCTGATGAAGCAAGTGAGAAATCTTAAAGACTCGAATAACATTTGCTAAGTTGCATCCCTTATGGCGTCAAAAAGGTATCTCACCAGATCTTGAGGGTCGTGTGTACCAGGCTGCAGTCTGGGCTGTGTTGCATGACTGCTTGACGTGGCCTCTGCNTACATACAATCGACAATCTTGGTGCTCCTTGACTTCAAAGGTGTGCTGGATCCTGTCGATCGGTCAGCACTTGGTCAGTACTCAGCATTTTGTGAACATAATCCGATCCCTATATCCACATGTTTCTGGGCTTGCAAGAGTCTATGGTGAACTCTTTGAGAGCCTTTCTACAAAACGTGGTGTCCAAATGGATATCCACTCTCTCCATTCTTCTCCAACTTCGTTGTTGATAAAATGCTGAAACAAACGCTGGAAGGTCTTGAAAACCCCGGTGTTAAAATTGTTGCCGGTGAGAGCCTTGTCGATCCTCAGTACGCAGATGACATCGCCCTCGTCTTTCAAGACCACAGCGAAGCACAAGCTCATCATCATACCATCTTTTGGCATGCGCATTGCACCTTCAAATACAAAGCCATGCTTCAGAACCCGCAGTCTCTGAGCATATCCCTTGCAATTCAAGGAGAATCACTGAAGATTTAGGAAAGTTTTACCTACCTTGATAGTTTTATTAGCTCTGATGAAGCAAGTGAGAAATCTTAAAGACTCGAATAACATTTGCTAAGTTGCATCCCTTATGGCGTCAAAAAGGTATCTCACCAGATCTTGAGGGTCGTGTGTACCAGGCTGCAGTCTGGGCTGTGTTGCATGACTGCTTGACGTGGCCTCTGCGGACAGATGAGTTGTCCTCAGGCTTTGGACCACTGATGTCTCAGAAGCGTTACTGGTGTTGGATGGCGTCGGTGGATTCGACGGCTGCCCAAATTTAGGATCAAATGACATCTATTTATAAGTTCCATTCTAGTGAATTATTCGAAAAATCACCTGTGCGAATACTATTTTTATACATACAAATCAGCGTCAAAGTCAGGTGTGTCCTAAGTGGCTGCGCTTTCCGTCGAGTTTAGATGCTGATCAAGATGCTACTCTAACTGATATAAGTAGGCATAAATTTGGACGAAAATTCACCAATCAAACGACATGCTGAGAACTGTTGCACAGAGGTAAACAAAACAGCAGGGACTCCAGTTTTCTCGGTGACAGTGCTTGAAATCAATTCCCGCTCTATAAGAAGTAATGACCTAATCTGAAGTGCAAAAATGTTTGCTTTCGTCCCGTGAATGCGACTGGAAAAGCCGAGTACAAGTGCCACACTTATTGAGAATTATCGGTAGTGATTGGTTCACAACACTCCCAGGGCATTCCAGCTTGCAGATCTCCACCTGTCACTAACAAACCGACGTATTTTGCAAGAGTCAAGACCCGTCAAAAAGCAATTTCTAAAGGTCTGCCTCAGCATGAGGTGGAAATTCATCGAACCGTAACAAACTGCTAACCGGTGAGGCGGAAACGAAATCCCGTGATGCAGAAAATGCGATGCCTATTGTTCAAGGAGCGTTATGCGTGGTTATTGACTCGCGATAATCGCGTGTTTGCGCAGGAACTCTCGTGGCTTGGGGTATTCCAACGGCAATGAAACATCAAATTCGTGTGGCAATGAGAGTGTTTGTCTGTTTTGGGTTCAAGTAGAACATAAGGCTGAGCAGATCTCTGAGACTGTGTTAACCTGATGACGCCCAAGAAGAGTGAAACCGGTTGTAGGCTGTCGAAGAGTTTTTAGAAAGCTTGTGACTAGTGTGTTACGCCCAGACAACAAGTACTGCAACATCTCGAATATCACACTAACTGGAACATGAAGCTAGCGAATATACACTCATTTGCAAACTAATTTGGTTTTTCGGGGGAGTCAGCTGAAACCCAGCTGAGTCTCTCGGTTTTGATGTTTGGGCTGTCAAGGAGTTTTCAGCAACCTTAGGAGTAGTGCATTACAAAATATATATGTATCGTGATATCTCGAACATCCTAGCGGCTGAAACATGAGGTGGCTTGGTGCAGCATTTTCAATTGCCTGAGAACATCACAAACGAGGGATTCAGCTGGGTCCCATGTGAGTCTCTCGAAAAAAACAAATTAGATTGCAAATGAGTGTATATTCGCTGATTTCGCGTAATTTGGCTTCAAGTAGAACATAAGGTAGACAGAAACTCGGGGACTGCGCCTACCTGATGAGCCCCAAGAAAAGCGAAATCGGTCCTGGATTTTCAGCAATCTTGTGAGTAGTGGAACATTCCGGTGAAACATTCAGATGATGTGAACTAGAAACTAAGTTGGATTCAGTTGAGTCAAAATGAAACTTGCTTTCAAATTAAACTAATTCTCAAAATATGTCCAAGTTGAGTTCAGGTATCACATATAGGATTGTGTTCACCTGATGACCAGCAAGAAGGGCGAAACCGGTTGTGAGCTGTCAAGGAGTTTTCAGCAACCTTGTGAGTAGTGTGTTACACTTAGACTAGGGAAAATCATGCCATATGGTGGGTGCTGTTTTTGTCGTGTAAAACCAAGTGAATATAGTATGCGAAGCCCGAAAAAATCAAATTTCTCATGCACTTCGGAAACCACAATCACAGAATGAAATTGTTTTTATCTATTACCAGTGAGGTCACCGGCCTCAATCTTGTCATAGGTTCATGCTACGCACACACCTGAAAGGTTATCTCCGTTTGTTCAGCATAGATTGAATTTACTTTTAGGATGAAAATTCTATTGGGAAATTAATAAATCTTCTTGAGAGTTATCGGTAGTGATTGGTTCACAACTCTCCCAGGGTATTCCAGCTTGCAGAAGTCCACCCGTCAGATGAACAATTAGCCGTTTTGCCGCGAACGACTGATTAGCAGTGCGACTGAGTCGAACTAAGGCATCATAATTCGCCACTCCGCCTTCAGTGGCTGAGTTCCTGTTGATTGGCTCCTTGAGTTAGGATTACTCAGATAAAAGTCTCGCGTTGACTGAAGGGACTTACAAACACGATGCCGTGTGTTCAACCTAGGAGACCTGCAGGAAACTCGTTATCTTCGGTGAGGAGTGCCATCTGTTTAGCCCAAACTAGAACCTTGGTTAGTTTATTACTCCTCATAAGGTTGATGGGAAATCTGAACACCCTGACAGAGATTTTTGCTTCTTTGCGTCTCATCAGGAAATCGTAGTTTCCAAATCCAGTTCTTGCGTGTAGACCAAGCGGCGCTTGTGATTCACGCCTTGGTAGAATGTCTTGACAGGGAAAAAGGCATTTCCTACTCAGAAAAAAAAGATTTTACGAAAGATACTACCTTATATAGAATTATGACATTCTCCGGTATTAGGAAGTCTTTCGCCTCAATTTTCTAATAAACTTCGTAAGACTCAAGACCTGTAAAAAAGCAATTTTTAAAGGTTTGCCTCAGCATGAGGTGGGAATTCATCAAACCGTAACGAATTGCCAACCGGTGAGGTGGAAACGAAATCCCGTGATGCAGAAAATGTGGTGCCTATTGTTCAAGGAGCGTTATTGCGTGGTCATTGACTCGCGATAATCGCGCGTTTGCGCAGGAACTCTCGTGACTTGGGGTATTCCAACGGCAATGAAAAATCAAATTCGTGTGGAAATGAGAGCATTTATTTTAACGCCTCCTTGTAAAAGGTGATCTAAGCACAGGAGGCTGGATAGTGTCCGAATGCAATAAACCCTCTAACTCAAAGAGAGTAGAATGTCAACACCTTCGAAAAACTTCGGGATAAGCAGAGCTCAGTTTTACGTGGGTGTAAAATAACGTCAGACTCGGCCGATTCAGATTGCTCAAGAAGCCCCGGCCCGATAGGGAAAACTTGGAGCTACCTTCGATTAGCTGTTCAGCTGCTTGGGATATCATCCAGGGGTGAGAGGCACTATCCATGAGAACCATTGAATGATGCCTAATGGATGGGCAGATGGAGCTCTATGAAGAGGTCCGATATCACGGTTGTGATTCGCCCAAAGGCCAGTTGGGACGCTTCGAATTGGACGATGAGATAGTGAACAAACTAGTAAAACCATGCCCGTATAGGAAGCAACAGATGGCCGGCTTCTCTGCAGTGAGACACTGACGACAAAAACAAGTCGACCCCCAGTCCGTCTGACTTGCGTCCGTCTCTTCCCTATCCTTTTCATCTCCTCAAGACTCTCGAGTATGCGGATCAATAACCGGCAGCATAAGTAGGACCGGTTTATCTTCCAGTAGGAATCAAAATACGTACGCAACATCTCAACTCTCTGTCCCATTTAGTAGACCGAGGAGATCTGTCAAACAAAGAAGGCCCACGTACCAGTCCTTCAGGTAAATCGGTCTGTCTAAAGTTTGTCAAAAAGGTGAGGAGGACACTGGTTCCTCACCTCTTACCATTGGCTGATTAGCTGAAAGCTAATTTTTTGTCAGGCTCGGCAATTAGTTTGCAGATGTCTTGCCACCAATTGAAGTAACCTAAACGATGCTCAAGTAGAACATAAGATTGACGGAAACTTGGGGACTGCGCCTATCTGATGAGCCCCAAAAAGGGCGAAACCGATCGTGGGCTGTCGAAGAGTTCTCAGCAACCTTGTGAGTAGTTTCCTTTCGTGAGAATATACAGCGATATCTCAAATATCGTGCCAACTTAATCATGAGACGGCCTGTGTGCAGCAACTTCAGTTGTAGAATATCATAAACGAGAAATTCAGTTGAGTCTCTCGTGAAAACCAAATTGATTTGCAAATGAGTGCATTTCTCGTAAGCGATGCTCACTTTAATGAGCTTCAGTTGTTGTGTGAACCTCGCACACCGCAGAGTGAAAGAGTATCTTGGCTACCAACCTCATCGTTGCCTGGATTCTGTGCGCTCACGGTGGTCCGCTTCGAAATCCCCATCAATCACGGTAAGTTAAATGAATAAATTTAACCAGGTTGACTCTACTCGTATGTCCATCAATCTTCCAAAATCAGGAAACGAAAGTTCATCCATCTTCCAGCCAGTGATATTGAAATGGAAGGCGATCAGATCCACCAACGTTTCATCGGTCTAACAAAACGAGAGAAACATTCTGCCTAGACGGTTCTGGAGAGTAAGATGCGAAAAGAGGAGGGACGATTGAAAAAATGTCGGTTCAGGGGGCTGGCTTGTGAAAAGCTTAGAGTATGTTTGCGGCTTAAGTACAAACCAGCTGGAGATGGTTCCGTGGTGGGAACTTGGTGCTGGAAAGTCCGAGGTTCGAACCCAACCAGAGTATCTTGACTGCCACTATCCAGGCTTGGGTAACCGTTAGTATCTCAGCTCTTTTGGTTCCTTAGGTGGCACCGTGACCAGATAACGAAAGGATGTTGTTTACTTGTAGATAAAGCAACGTTTGTTTCGAATGTAGAATCACCTGTTGAGTCGTGTCGAGAAAAACTTCACGTCAGACAGAGTTGGCGATTTGGTGAACTTTGAAAATAAATGTTTTTACCAACAGTAGCCTTCGACGTCCTAATCTATGGGGACAATTTCAAATAAAGGGGGTGAACTGGGATGCTAAAATATGGCTTGGAGCTGCATTCGTTAAGCGGAAGTGATCGAAGCAGAGTCAGCGTTTCCAAGTAAATATCACACAATGGAGTAGAGAAACACGAGGGTGAGCACTTAGTTGAGACTTCATCCTGTCAGTGAGGTAGTCTGTGTTGAAAAATCGGAAAACGCTGTACAAACGGTTTATCCATATTGGAAATTATCAGCAGTGCGGACCACACAACGTTTTGATGGGTTGGAATCAATGACCTCACGACTAGCAGTTTGAACAAATGATCGTTCGGACACGGGCGGCTGATCAGCAGTATGGCTAACTTGCACTTGAACAAGATGCAGCGTAATTCATTCTGGAAAACCAAGTCACGTGGTCAGGTGGCCTTTTAGGATGGATTAGCTTCGATTGTAGGATTAAATATCCGTTGAAAATGACCACATCTCCTCACACCACCATCGATCACATAAGTGTCCGCGATGACCTTTAAAAAGGTTGGGTGGCATTAATTTGGTTTTTCGGGAGGCTGACCTTGAACCCAGCTGAATCTCACTTTTTGATGTTTCGAGGCAACCAAATGTGCTGCACCAGCTCGCCCCATGTTTCAGTCGCTACGATATTCGAGATATCACGATACATGTATATATTTGTTGCCCGGACATATCACGTACGAGAGATTCAGCTGGGTTCCAAGTGAGTCTCTCGAAAAACCAAATTAGTTTGCAAATGAGTGTATATTCGCTAATTTCGTGCAATTTGGTTTCAAGCGGAACATAAGGTTGACGGAAACTCGGGGACTGCGCTTACCTGATGAGCCCCAAGAAGGGCGAAACCGGCCGTGGACTGTTGACTAATTTTCAGCAACCTTATGAGTAGTGCATTACTAATATATAAATGAGTAGCATCTAGTTTAAATGACCAGGTAATCTGCTGACTGAGGTACAAACACCCTTGACATTCACTCGACTTTATGGGTTTCATCAAAGAATGACACAAGCTCAGACCGTCCGGGAAACAGGCACCGAATCTATGATCTGCAGACCTTGCGAGATATTTGTTAACAGGTGATAGTTAACACAAGAGAAGTCCTTGACCGGTCGACTACCATCACAGTGAATCCCGAGCTGTGCTGAGCTGTGCGGCACAAGGTAATATGAAGAAAGGTGAATTCATTGGCTTTTTTGGAAGTTCACGCTTCCGATTTAGAGAGACAATAAGGGGGTGGCATAACTTCTTATCAGGAGTGTCAGATTCCTGAAATTAATCCCACAATGCCCGAAACCTTCAGAGACCCTCAACATCTGCCAAAATCCGATGAGCGTTCAAGCACGCCACACAAGAACGGGCGACTGTGATGAATGCTCAAGCTTGACGTACAAGCATGGTCAATGATTATGGGTGTTCACCAGACGCCGATCAGACAGCCTAAATCACTGTCAAAGTGCAGATCAAAAAACGCGAGATCCCTCGTAAGTTTCGCACTCGTTTGTTGGCTGTTGTGTTCCTTATTGATTAGTCTCCTTCCAGCACCAGGGTTCTAAAATCAGCAATTAGACACAAAACTTTTCTCCTCTCTTCTGTGGGAGTTCATATCAGATCCCTTGGTCTAAAATTACCTGACACGCGTTTTTTTAATGTTTTTAAAGTGAAACTATGTAAATCTCTAGTGGTCTCACACTTGTTGGTTCTTGGGGCCCTCTTTGCCGGACGACTGATCTGATTTCCTTCGCATCGTATGCCGGAAATACACCGGAAGTGCCTGCACTGCTCGAACGAGTTCTGCTCTCTGTATACTCGTCACTAAAGGCTTCCGTTTTGGTCACTGGGTCATTGTAACATCAAGACGCCAATGCCTATCGTTGAGTCAACTCTATGTGTAAAAACTGGAGTCATTATCGGTCGACTAGTAACTACCGTTATTTTTGAAGAGCATGGTCACAGACATAAGATGCGTTGAGATTTCCAAGGTTGATACAGTTTGGCGGCAGCTTGTGTTTTCTCAAAGAGTGGTTTAATCACCTGGAACGTTCTCATTGCAACAGTCTCCACCGGCTACACAAAGGTGAAAAGCAGAGTAGAATAATAGAACGCGAGAGATAATCACCTGACCAGCCGTTCAGGGCCAAATGGTTAGGTCTTCAATCACTGGCCGAAAATTCGCGGGTTCGAAATTCCCTGATATTTCTTAATCTGCAAACTGGTGATAATCCTCAAATAAGGATAAAGTAGCTATACGGTGTTTCTTGATTGTTCAGTACCGACTGAATTCACCCACAAGAAGAAATTTAAATCAAATTTGTCTCCGAGGCTGAAGTGATACAGGCAAATTTACTGAACAGTGAGAAAGACTATGGTGTGTTGAAATTTTACCCATATGGCGCAACAGGCTTACTATTGTTTCGTTGTCCCAATATAAGTAGTATGATAGAGCATTTGTGCGATGTGCACCTCTTCTTTGTGGCGTGATTCTTGCGAATAATCATCAATCACTCATTTGACTTTCCGTATCATATCACTGCGTTTGCCGATACCGTGTAGGTCGGTTTGCAAACCAATAGGCTTAGAATGACCTTCGTAGATCACGTATTGATTGGCAGGGCAAAAGACTGAGCAGTGTTCTGAAGTCCCTCAGGCTGTATGATATGTTCTACTGTCAAGCCGACCCGCCAGGACAGAGTTCAATCAGCAAGTGCGTCTGCTGAAGAAGGTGCCGCGTACCGGATCTGGTCAGATGCAACTTCGAACCGTGTGTGGATCTGCGGTGGTTTAATGTAGTACCGAGGAGTTAAACGGAGCTTCAGATTCTTTCGGGCTATTTTCATTATCTCATCAGGAACGTTTCCGAGGCAGGAAATCCGACAGTTTGAAACAGTTTGGAACTCAGTTTGAAACAAGACGTCTGCTTCTGTAGGCTTTTTAAACTCCTTTCTTGAACTAAGCGGTCCGCATTGGTTGTCGCATTTAAATTTTGTGCAAAAGATTAGCGATACGTAGCTGGATAGGAAGGGAATTTGCGAGCCACAAGTTCGCAAGTTTCTCCAACGATTGATTAATTCGTGACTTACCACAGAGGTTGATTCCAATTTATTTCGTTTATTTAGTCTGCCTTAGAACCAATAAAAAACGCATTTTCCCCGGTGCCAGTGTCTACTATCGAACGCTAAATTCTATCAGGTTGAAAACACTGCGTTCTCTTATAAAAAAGAAGTTGGACGAGGTCTTTTGATATCATGTTTCGCCCATGACTCTCCCACTGCGAGACCAAATTCATCAATTTTCAAACAGCCGCCCCGTCTGTTCTAAAAATCAATATTTATCAGTTTTCCGAGTACTGAATTCATTTAAACAATGCGAATGTGAAATTTACCGGCAATTTGATGATATTCATGTGCCGCAGCAGAATGGAAACTAAAATTACTATGAGTTTGGCAATTTCTTCCGCACGTATGAAAGTCGATCACAACTTCGTAACGTACTACTCATGATGTCGCTGAAAATCCGTCGACATCCCACGACCGGTTTCCCTCTTTTGGGGCTCATAAGGTTGGTGCAGTCCCCGGGTTTCCGTCAGCCTTATGTTCTACTCGATCACAACTTGGCTCTGTATTAATTATGAATATCGCTCAGCATCCACAAATTGTCTAACCATCTTCCGGTCTTTGTTTGACAGTCTGGATTAAAACGAGTCGGTACCAGTGAGGCTGGGAAAGTTTTGGCGTTTATTAACGCAATTCCAGTAATTACTGTCCGTGACAAATTGGCTCATTGATCTCTCATGAACTCGTAAGACCGTTTTCAGGTAGGAAAATAGAGTTGAATGATGGTTCGCGTGAAAAAATTCGCAATAGTGGCACGGTTTTCCGGATCAGCGTCGCGATTATCGTGGATGATCTTTGTCGGGAGCAAACTAACTCAAGTTGCAGAGGTAGAGTTAATGGGGCTGGACTAATGCGTCTATCAGTGCAGATTTGACACTGCAACCAAAAAGCTGTCCAGTGGGTTTCAAGCGTGTGCCACGCTACCTGACTGGCGGGTCAATCGATCGTCACAACCAGGGCAGTTACTGGGTCGTCCTTCGATCAGTCGGGCGCACCAATCACATCGCTCAAGTGTGAACACGTTCGCCTGTCTAGACGCGCTAATTTAGATGCGTCCAACGTGCGTTGGTGGACTAGTGTTTGCACGCTCGCCTCGCATGTCAGATGTCCGGGGTTCAAATCCCGGCACGGCCACTGGATATGCACTCCGGATGAGCTCTAATAAGAGCGAAACTCGAGTCCAGTGCCTCCTCTTGGTGTGGACTCGCCAGAATAAATATGCCAGGACAGGAGAACACGACTATTCAAATGAGAGTGGTGTGGCTATGAACGAAAATACCTATCCTGGAAAACCCCACAATTTGAGGAATAGTATGGGCGGTCAGGGTCCTTTCGGGTTAATGCTTCGGTCAGCTGGTCGTTATTGATTGGTGCTCACAAAGTCTGACCGTCGTTCCGAATGTCGCAGATGAGTTATGTGCAAACCGATGACGTTTCCGCGCAGCACCAGTATGCATGCACTGTAAAGCATCCGTGAACTCGTTTAACGTGTAATCCTCCATTAGGACGTTCATAAAAACAGTGGAGTTATGTTCATCTTTTGGAATTTCAAGCGTTTTCATGCTGCGAATATTTTCGGGTGTCTGCCCGTTCCTCCTATGTAGTTGGAATTGCAACTTAAAAGCAGCTGATCCCTATGTGATACGTTTGGGCACCTGCGGTGATGAGGTCTTTGGGATGCCGGCGGTATTGTCATTTTGGAGAATTGTACGTGCGAATTCGTCCAGTAGTTTTGTACGCGATCTAAATGGTTGGGAAGGCGGTTGGTTGTCCCCTGTGAGTTCCGTCTAGCCTCGGGTTGATTTGCAATGAAAGGTGGTTTCCACAGAAACGTATGGCTAATACGAGGTGTCATCAGTGCGCGCAATACAAACGCCGCTCTTCTGGAGAACTCAGATGGCGGTCCGGTGGCAAGCGTTTGCACTACATACATTGAAACGTGGCATTGTATTCTTATTGTCGGGGCTTCGTGAACAAGGTCAGTATACTTCAACAAGTCCGTTGCAAGAAGATTTATTGAAATTCGATCGCCTGATGGCGGGTGTTGTTAGCTTTGCACGGCTTGGAAAAGCCGAAAAATGTTAGACAGTCTCATTAAATGTGTGGATGTGGTGCGGATGATGCGGTCACAATTTCTGTGGGTTTGCAAAACAAAGTGGTACAAAAGATGGGCGTCAAGCATCTAGAATGAACCAGCTCTACCTAACAATGGTGACCATGCATAAGATGCTGTAAGGGTGGCTAGGTTGTGATGGCAGCGGGGCTGTACCTCTTTGGAGTTTGAGGTGAAATATGGATATACCGACAGGACGAACTTTTTTTTATAGAAAAAGACGCCAAATTTTCGAACTAGCGGTCTTTATGTCATCACCCAGTTAGCGCTTCTGGAACCTTCGTCATAACGTGTACTTATGTCTGTAACTACCGGAATATCAAACAGGTATTTTCTCATTGTGGAGAGGGTAAGAAAATCAATCGGGATACAGGCCAGCACACGTAGGTCTACATGTTTAAACATATCAAACACTGGTCACTAGGTCTTACACGATAGTTCAGAGTAGTTAGGCGGAATCACACACCGGTACCGCTTTACCGTTCATAGATGGGCGCTGTTACGGCCGAGAAGCTTATCCCGCACAAGATTGGCCCAAAGTTCAGGATGCTTGCCAGAACGGCATCAAGTCGAGCTCTGATTGGTCGAAAGTCTAGACCCAACAGGCAATCATGATCCAGTATTTACCGAATTCCGGTTGTCAAAGCCAGAATTTCCAGAATGTCCCCCTGGCATGCACTTCGTATACGACACAGTGTATGAATGTATCTGGGAGAGACGACTAAGTGGGTCAGAGGTGAGATAGCTCAGTGGTTAGAGCGCGGATTTACTGACCGGAAGGTCTGTGGTTCGAACCCGACCTCTACCTCTTGACTTCTTTTGTCTAGGCTTTGGCAACCTGGCAGTATTCCAGCTCTCGTGCTTCCTTCTGGTGGCATAGCAGTTGGGCACCAAAAGAGTGCTACGAACGAGTGTTTCTGACCTGGTTTCCGACGTCACTACACATTGTGAACATTTGGTGGTCGTTTTTGACTGGAACGCTATCCTTGGGAGATTCAGGCCGAGAACTATGCTGAGGAGTATACCGTCATTACACCATCCATACTTTAAAATCCAGAGTTAAACTCACACCGTTTCAAAGAGCGCCTGAAAGTGTGCACCAGAAAATATTTTTGCGCAGCCGATAAATAATGGGGACAATTTGTTTCAGAACAAAACAAGACTATATATTTGTACAGGACGACGGTTGCTACTTGCTCCCATAAGTAGTATCGAGTTGTTTAGCCGTGAGCACTGAATTTTGACCAACAAACATCTCGCCTTTCCCTTATGCGTATAGAGTTTGTGTGAATGAACCAGCTACAGCATTTTGAAAATACCGCCGACCAAGGTAGTGAGTTTTGTTCCGCCACGTGTCACGAGATTTCACATCCGCGCACAGCCATTCAAGATAAGTTGCTCGCGTAAGAAACCAAGAAAGAAGTCAAACCATTTTGGCATAAACAGCATGAGCCATCTCCCGGGTTCATGTAAAATTAAGAAGAAACATTGTACGGAATAAAGGTGCGCCACTAAGTTACAAGAAGTGCTTAGCTGACCAAACGTGACCTATCGCATAGGAAGATTCTGATGGCAATCATCACCGTTCTAAACCTATTCGAACTCAGATACCGAACGAATCATCTCTTCCATCTCTCTGATTGATTGTCATGGTGAACTGAACAATCAAACACGGTGAAAATCAGTTTTGATAATAGTCAACAGTAATCTATTGGACTTAGTTCATGTGGGATTTATTTTAGTTTGGTTTGAACCCTGGTCACCATTCGGATAGCTTAGTTCGTATGAAACCAAAGTTAAAACTGTGGTAACCTGAAATTTTTCAGGGAGAAATAGAGGGCTACCCGCTTTCCTATGTTCTTCTGCTTTATTTGGGTGATAATATACATAAAATGAGTGGTAACCGAATCGATACAACAAACAGGTAAATTTCAAAACGATAAATCGGTCTGATCAATAAATCAGATAGGTCTAATCTTCAGAGTTTACAGTAGTACAACAAGTTTCCTTTTGGTTAGGACACCATTCCGACCGGTCTGAGATGGGTACAATGAACCCCGAAACCAGTGACTAGGTCATTCCACAACGGTGCACCTGTTGTTAGTTGTTGAACAAAATCAAATCGGCGTGTTGAGAGATGTAAACTTGCGAAATTTTACGCCTTCAGGCAACCTCTTGCACTCGGGTGCTGCTGAGCTCAAACTTGTGCTCAGTTTCGGGAGGCATCCTCCATATCGAACGTGAGCACATGTAGATTCATTCTTCAAGCAAGAAGTGACTGGAGGTAAACAGACTGTGCAATTTTTTCCTATTGTTTTTATCGACCATTCATGTGTGAGATCGCCAGTTGCTGAGTCTTTTCTGAGAATCACTAGAAACATTAGCTGTTAGTCAGACAGCAAATGTAACTGACTTGCAAACGTTTCGCCACTACACGGTGACTTATCAACAGTATGATGTTGAGTGGTGCAAATCGTCCACTTCTGCTTGTGTTTATATGGTTTCTAAAGAGCACTTGATAACTGTGAACTGATTGGTTGTTCAAGAATTGTTTGGTCCTTAATTTGATTGGTCCGTTCAGGATTTGTGTTGCGTTGTTGGCCGTATATCTTAATAATGATAGCTGTAGTAGGTCACATGACGGCTGATGAGGTGGCAGTTGATTTTTTACCCTAGCCTGCAAGTGGCTTGTGAACGGGGGACGGGCCTCATTATATATGAATTCCAGTAAGTTAAGTCCAACAGTCCCGAGTGCCAGTGTTCCAAACCCGGTTGTTTTGCGATCAGCTCAGAAGTGAATACTTATAACCCACCAATTAAACATGATTAAGAATAGTCAACGTAGCTAGCGCTGCATGCGGATCGATATCTGCCGGCTGACCGGAAGTTCGAAGCCCACTGAAAGTCAGGATACGTAAGGAGTGTAAACTACAAAAGAACTTCTCAGGTATCGCAGTTATTTGTAGTGTATTCGAGATTTCTATAAGTCTGGAGGATGAGAACAATAGTCTATGGCACGTGGGTTGATTTTGAGGGTCGGTGTTCACTGTTGGAGTCCACGATTTGTGATATCAAACTGAAGAACTGGAAACGATACCTGCAGCTTGGGTTGCTTCCTAGCCCGAGTTCAAGTATCGTTTGGTGAGTGTTATAATCTGCTGATTCGTCAATCTGTGGTATCTGGCGCTCCAGTTCCCAATGCCTGAAAAAGACTCACAGAAGGAAGCACAACAGCTATATTCCGAACAAGCGAATGTGAGGGTGTGGGTGCCTGCGAGTGCGAGAGCAAAAGTTACACCGGCCCGACGCTATTTAAGTGGGACTTTCTGACACTGATCCAGGCTGTCTAATAGGCGTTAGTGAACACCCATCAACATCGATCGGGCCTCTATGAAATGCCTGAACGCCGATCACATTCGGTCGTGCTTCTGTGGCGTGCATGAACACTCATTAGCGTTCGCTGAATTGATTGAATGACTGAGTGGCCTGGATTCTTGCCGGCTTTCCAGTTGAGGTTTTGGTGGAGCAGTAGGTTCCGGGCGTTCTAAGGTTACCTTCAGGAACCTGACCTTCCTGATAGTGAGCATTTTTGAAAACCTTCAATAGACGAATATCACAAACGAGGAATTTAACTCGATTTCTGTCGAGTCTCCAATTAAAGCGAAACTGGTGTGCAAAAAAGTGTATTTCCGAAACTGCGTCTAATTCGGTTCACGTTGAACATGGGGTTGACGGCTGTGGACTGCGACGAATTCTGGACAACTTTATGATTACTGTCCAGTCCTCTTTCAAGCGTTTTTCTCTTTATTGCTGAATGAAATTTGTGTGCGAGACCAAAGAGTGAGGATTTCTCATGTCTACAATGTTCGATTGCTTACATTTGACTAAGAAAAGACTCATAATTAACGTGCAATTAGGCAGGATCATGTGTAATTGATCACGGTTACTGTCATTATGATACACTTACGCGGAGCTACGCTATCTTGACCGCTCATCCATTTTTGGATAGTCCTTTTGGCTTTTCACAGCCTGACTTGGCCTTTCCGTGTTAACTGCGCCGCTTCTTAGTGTGTCCCGTTGATCTCAGCAACATTGTGTGAACTCACATT